TTTTTCCTCAAAAAGGTTTCCTTCTCCCTCAGGTCTAGGAGGGGAAAAGGGCTTTTTCTGCATCTCTCCTGCGCTCCTGCTTTTCCCTGGAGGGGGAAATGCATCTTGCACCGGATTTAGGGCCGTTTTGCCAGAAGAGACCCCACCTGTAGCCGTGAGCCTCCCTGGTGAACGCAGTCCTGTAGGCACCACGCCACAAGACACGGATCCCAGCCCAAGCTTGGTCCTAGCAGAGAGAAGCCAACCCTGCTTTTGAGTGGAAATCAGCCTTTTTTTCCCCAGGAAAATACAGGCGAGACCATGAAGAGCCACAATGCCATCGCCGGAGCCCTGGCACGCGTGAAGCCCTGGGTTCTCGGGGGAGAGAGGTGGGAGCCTGTCCTCAGGAGGACACAGACCAGCTCGCACATGCCTGGGGATGTTGCTGAATGCTGCTCGCCTCCAGCGTTCGTTCCTTTGGCCAAGGTGAGGAGGCCACACCAACCGAAGGTGCCACGCTGGGGCCGGGGCACCACGTGCCCTACTCCCTTGGCTGCATAGCCCTGAGGCCCTCCTCATGGGTACTCACTCCCTGAGACAGAAGAGCCTCTTCCACCAGCCTCTCAGGGCCAACAAGGGGCAGGGTTCGCGTGGGTGCACGTCTGTGTCTCCAAACAGGGTCCAAGCTCCACATCAGCCGGTGCAGGTATACTCACTCCTCTCTGCTCTGCCCGCTCAGCCCTTCAAAGGCAGAGCCTGGGGCAAACAGATCGGAGCGAGACAAGCTCCAGCCCAAACACCGAAGGCTGCTTGCCTGAGAGATCATCTTGATTTTATGTATTTTTTTTTTTAAGTCTGGGATTTTTTTTTCTGTCTGGGTTTTGTTTCTGAAGTTAATTTGAAGCTTGTGAAAAAGTCATAGCGCAACCCTTGCTGTCTGAAAATCTTCCCAAAAACACCCGGCACCAGGGCAATGAACTTTGGCTTCCAGCAATGCCCTGCCAGCGCCTTTTGGTGCTAACCTGCAGCCGTCTCTGCACAGGGAAAGGGAATTCAGCCCCAGCAGCCTGTTCAGCTCTTTGTCTTTCAAGTGAGAACACTGGCTACAGCTCCAGTGCCAACTGCCGTTCATGTTTCAAATTAGCTGAAGTTTGTTATTTTACACTTTAGGTAGGAGCTGCAACAAACCGTTCACCAGCAGTCCAAGCGATAGTATACAAGCCCCTCTAGGATCCCTTGGAAGAGCTCCTGATGAGTTCACCAATGTTTGCACATTAACCTCTGGGTGAAAAGCCAGCCAGAGGGATGTGAGAACTCCACCGAGCCCTCCAGATCATGACACAAAATGATGCAAGTGTGGGAGCCGAGAGAGAAAAGGTTTCGTGAGCCCAGAAAAATAATAAAACGTTTAGATCCTTAATTGTTTTTCTTGAAGATTTATCCAAAATTGAGCTCTCCTTAAGCCTGTGAGTTTGCAGAGCATTGTCAATAAATTAGATCATGCACACAAGGCAGGGATTTCAAGCCAAAAAGCTCTAGCCCTGAGTCGCTTAACAGCAACACATCCCAGAAAAACGACTCGAGATGAAACATGAGATATGTATTAATTATCAATGGTCTAATAGAAAATTTAATGAAGACAAGTATCTTCTTGCACTTTATCCACGATAACGATGAGAGTACGTCAGCGAGACGCATACCTTACAATGTGGCGGTGAATGTCAAGTCTGAAGCCATTATAGCAATTCACCACAATAATGGCTAGCCAATGTATGGACTTGTAGCACTTAATCAAAGTAATGACATTCATCCACAATTATTTATGTTATGGTAACAAAGAGCTGCCAAATGCAAAACAAATGACATGAGGATTTGCAAGTGAATTCCTTCCCGTAAATTCTCCTTAGGTTATGGTTAAAGGCCCTCAGGATGGAAGCCTGTATAAATTCAGAGCGTTATCAAAATGGTGGTGTTATTGTGTCACATTTTACTGCCTATAAGCCATGAACCCAGCGCTATTGCTGAAATGAGCTCTTCAGCCAACAGAACCGTATTGATATCATTTGAGCTGGCCCTGATTTATACCTGAGAATTGTCTTCAGAATTTTACCAGGGGGCTGGGGAAATTTTGGAAGACAACCTTTGCTTACATCTGCCTATCAAGGAAAACAAAGACCCAGTTGTATCAACACTTACACATGCATTTAACTTAAAGTCTATGAGCAGTTCCCACTTACCTCAATGGGCTTTGGATTAGAGCCATTATAATTACCAACCATGATTCTCTATTAAGTGCAGTACTTTTCTTTCTGGGGCATTTATGTGGGTGTTTGTATAAAAACACTGTCAAAAACTATGAACACCAGTAAATATAAAATGGCAACATTAAGGTTCAAATGCAATGAACTAATTTATTTTTTTTTAACACTACGTCCAACTGTTTTTCACCACTCACAGATGTCACTGGAACAACTTGAAATCAAAAAAACCCGCCTAAGAACAATATACTGCACAGACCAGCTAATATTGATTGCTGTAAAAATGCCCCCTGTTAAACTAAATAATAGCCAAATTTCACTGCATTAAATGTGCCTTTTATATCATTAAATAGTAATTTAACAGAAATCTGAATGCATAGTGAAAAAAAAGAAAATGTTGAAAATGAAGGATTAATTTTTTTTTTTTTTGGGCATCATATGAGTCTCCAAAGCAACACCCAGAAAGAAGAAAACAATCATTTCATATTAGCTGGCCACTTAGCCACAGAGGCCAAAACTGGGACTAAGCTAACTCTAATACGCACTTTCCAAACTGAAGTATGCACTTAGGGGAGGCTGGAGAAACCTCCTTTACCACAGGCTCTGGCCACCCTCAATGACCAAATTATGGCCCGTCATGTAGTCTGAGGCTTCAGAGGCCAAATAGACGACTGCAGCCTGCAGGTCGGTCACCTGAGCCAGCTTCCCGGCAGGGATGTCCGCCAGCCAGCGCCGCACCAGCGGCCGCAGGTCCTTGGAGCGGATGAGCGGCGTATCGACGATGCCCCTGCAACAAGCACACACACCAAGAGTTTAGGCATGGCTTTTCCCCAGAAGGAAAGGCAGCACTTACAGGTTTTCGAGGAGGAAAACCATTCAGGAGGAAAACCATGGCACAGAGGAGATGTGCAAGTCAGACCTGCTCTGCTTCTGAAGTCATGATGGAAACTTCGGTAGCACTTCTTCCATAGAATCACAGGATAGTTTGGTGTTGAAGGGACCTTAAAGATTATCTAGTTCCAACACCCCTGCCATGGGCAGGGACACCTTGCACTAGACCAGGTTGCTCCAAGCCTCATCCAGCCTGGCCTTGGACACTTCCAGGGATGGGGCATCCACAGCTTCTGTAGGCAACCTGTTCCAGTGCCTTACCACCGTCTCTGACAAGCATTTCTTCCTGATATCTGATCTAAACCTCCCCACTTTCAATTTAACCCCGTTACCCCTTGTCCTGTCACTACAGGCCCTTGTAATAAGTCTGCCCCAGCTTCCTTGTAGCCCCTTCAGGTACTGAAAGGTGCTCTAAGGTCTCCCACAGAGCCTTCTCTTCTCCAGGCTGAACACCCCCAACTCTCCCAGCCTGTCCCCATAGCAGAGGTGCTCCAGCCCTTTGATAATCTTTGTGACCTCCTCTGGACTCGCTCCAACTGGTCAATATTCTTCTTATGTTGGGTGCCCCAGAGCTGGACACAGAACTGCAAGGTGGGGTCTCACGAGAGCAGAGTAGAGGTGGAGAATCCCCTCCCTCACCCTGTTGGCCACACTTCTCTGGGTACAGCCCAGGATACAGCTGGCTTTCTGGGCTGACAGCACACACGGCCGACTCATGTTTTGCTGCTGATGGGCAGGCTTAGAGGTTTTCTTTAAAGTGAATACACCCATACTATCTTCTTAGCTAGTAGTATCCCCTTACTTTTAGATTACTCTTTGTAATGACCAGTTCAATTTTTCTTGTAGAAAACAAGCATGGCATGGGAGCTGAAAGCGCCTTGAACCACGTCTGTCACAGCTCTTGGGAACTGTCGTCCTTCTACCGATTTCTCTTCTCATCGCTTTGCAACATAATGTCACACAGCGTGTTTGTGTACAGCCCAGAAACTGAAAACAGCCCGAATTCCCATATGTCATAAAACGGGAGAAACAAAAGTCAGTACCTTTGTGGGCAAGAGACCCTTTCCACACAAAAAAGGAGAGGCAAAGACAAGCACAGCACACCCAGTGCGATTCCCTGTAAACCAATACACCAACAAATCACACCGCATTTATCTGTCTTGCCTCTTTTACATTAATGAGTGACTACACCATTTATTAAAACTCTGCTAAGTTCATTTTCTTCAGATGCCCTAAAAATGAGTGATGCTCCAGAAAGCACAATGCAGGGCGAACATTTGGCTGGCTTTTATGACTTTAACTACGACTGATTTGTCATACTCCTCCTTAACAACATATTTGTATTTTGCGAAATGTATAATTTTTTCAGCCCCTGAACAAATATATTTACATAACTGTGTCTAACGAGAAATTACATTTAACTTCTCAGAAATGACAATAACTAAAACCTGAACTGCCAATTCCACTTCATTAGTGTGGTAGAAATGCATTCCAAATGTTAATAAAAATTCCAACATGCTGATAAATTAGCGCTTCTAAGGAGCATGTGACACCTTGGTTAACATATTCAACCTCAATTATATTTCTCTTCAGCACCCTGTTATCTGGAACCTTTGCTGGCAATCAGAGGTGCTGTTTTTCAGCGGCCAATTTTCTAGATAATGTAGCTTATCAACACTGTGGGTAAACTTGCCAATGAAATCAGGCTGCACTGAACCACACACACGCTAATTGCATCTCTTTTTTATGCATATTTACAGACTGTCACTTCAAAGAAATCAGTGGCCCATTGAGGCAGCCAGTTAGCTGGAAGAATTGCCTCTTGCAAATGAAAATTAGCAAACAAGCTAGTGATAAATATGAAATGAACAAAGTATAAAAATACACGTTTTGTTCTGAAACTTCATCGGCATCCCAATTTATACTTCCAAGGAAATAATTTTTTTGAGACACACTGGATTCTGGGTATGAGATTTACCTTTTGTTTTAAATAAAGGCTGAAATCTGCTATTTATTCTGTTACAAAGTGGAACTAATTCAGACTTTCCCCAAAACATTTCTGTTTTCACTAATCGGGCAGGATTTAAAGATCAGCTTTATTTTTTATTGTAATTGTCAATAAACACCAGAGCAGTTCAGAAACACTGAGCGAAGCAGCTCACTTAAGCTCTGGCAACGTAATAAAATCAAACACATCCCAGTATAGGACTGCAGACGATTTACTTATTTCCTGCAAGAACAGCTCCTCGCTCTCCCCACTCCTCGAGAACTGGTTTTCTTCAGAGAAGGCTGTGGTTTGAGCAGCAGACGTGAAATACACTGGACTCCTTTCCCTTACATCCCTCTCACCATGCTTACAAAACCATCAACTTAATCACTCTGGCTTTACACTATCAGAGACCAGAATAAGATCCATGTGATTTTTAATTTTGTTGGGTTTTTTTTTTGTTTGTTTGTTTTTTAATTTACATATATGTTTTAACCCCAAAGGAATGCAGATTGAGGAATATGACACACAGGACTCCAGCGCAATAGATCTTGCTAAAAAGAGGGCATTTTTCAATCTGTTCGGAAAAATGATCTTTGCTCTGATCACTGCAACCTATAAGTCACAGTGCTGTGCCTCTCACTGGACATGTCCTTAGGTTCACTTCAAGTAGCAAAAATTTAGGAGTGTAACAAAACTTACAAATTTTTGTTATAGAAACAAAAAAAGATATAGCGCAAAACTTAAAAGTTGCAAACACACATACTGATGGCACTATAAATATTAGGCATGTCATTGATACTACACATCTTCTGGGAAAGCTTTGGTGCCAAGTTGGGCAATTTAATGTTGTCGAACCCTTTTAGGCAGATTTTAGTTGGCTTCTAACCAGTTCCAGCAAAGACAACTGCCAATGCATTAATTCCCTACCTCATCTCGTATGCAGTGCTGAGCCTATCAGTACTTTCTGTTGCATGTCAATGTAATATCAAACTGCTGGTTCCTTAATGTTAGATATGAACATCAATATTTCATTATTGATACACCGGACAATTTGAGACATTAAGAAAAAAAAAAGCAAAACAAAGCAAAAAAAAAAAAAACCACAGCCCACCCCAATTGCCTAAAACATTTCCACTTCGAGAGACACATTAGGAAAAATATCACTTACCAGATACTTAACTGGAATTGTTACGTGTGCTCAATCCCCAAATGAGAGCAAAAAAAGATTCCATCTGTGTGTAACTTGATTTCTTTCAGATGAGTTATTAATTTGAATGAGTTAAGTACACTCCACTTAATCAGGAAGTGTTTAATCAAGAGATCCACTTAATTGGGACATCTCCCAAGGAATTAGATTTAAGTCCAAAGATACTTAGCAGCAACAACTGCTGCTTCACGGGGACAGTAATGCTGCTTAATTGGGACATCTTCAGGTGATACCAGTGTGCTCCTTCTCCTGCCATCTCTGCCTCTCCTTCCCCCACGATGGGGTACACCCAAAACCTGCAGTTATCCTGCCCTACCTGCTTTCTGACTCCTTGTACCCGCTGGGCTAAAAGCCTAGTATGGCAGCGTAGGGCCACCTCCGTACCAGCCCAGGGGAGCAAGGCAGGCACGCAGGGGATGAAGCCTCTTTGCCCATCACAGATCAACCCCAAATCACTGCAGCCCACCAGTGGAGAATATGGTTCATCCTCTGGGACTGCTGAGTTTCATGAGATCCCCAACAAGCTGGCCTGGCTGCAGCTATGGCTGTGAGCTCAAGATCAGCGTCCAGCTGCCCATCCTAAAGGCCATCATATATGGCTTTCCAAATCAAGCAGGAAGGTGAAATTAGACAAAAAAAAAAGACACTGATTCAGTGCAATGCCTGCAAAAATGAAGCATTCCGATGCTGTATGTGACAAAAAACAAAGACCCTCAAAAGTCCCCTGCTCCATCACACCCAACACACATCACTTGTGTGGTTACCAGGAAAGGGACTAAAACACATCGTGGGCAGCCGGGCATCAGCTGCCAGGCAGTGCCCTGTAAAGGTCCCTGTTCACACCCAGGTCCCCTCTGCAGCCTGACTCTCACATCTCTTCTGGGAAGACTCCAGCACCTTCTTCATTTTGCACGGCATCAGCTGTGCACCAGGTTACAAGGCACTTGGTGGCATAAGGGCTGAGCACAGTTTCCACGACACACGGGAATGCTTGCTGCTGCATGGAGCAACTGGCAAAGTCAGCAAAGCATCCAGGGAATCTCGGCCACCTTCTCTGAACAGGCATGAGGCTTGCCTGGCCAGCAAAAGAAGCCTGAATCTTCAATTTTATAAATGCAATAAATTATCCTAAGGGCTCTGCTATAACATTTTATGCATTGATAACTTTTATGCATTGCTCTGCATAAGTTTTATGCACTCATTAAGAAATTAAGTTGATAAAAAGTGACCAGATAGGAAAAGGGAAAAAAGGCGAAAAGGTTTGAATGGTGAATTAATGGCACTTCAGCCAGAGGTAAGCTGAGAGTGCCCCAAAACATTAATGCAACTGTGAGTGGGAAGGGCAAAGAACTTAAGGGCACACTTACATATTATACTTATCCAGAGATTATCTTGGGTACCATTTTTCCCTATATCTACATCTGTGCTCCTCACACTCCTCAAAATCCCCTCCTCTGGGGGATGGCTACATGCTAGACTGGACATCCATGCTCAGAAACACTTGTGCATTTATGACATTTTTCAACCCTGCAGAGTACTCTGGTTGCATCAGCAGATGTGCTGTTACACTGAGGCTGCTGCCTGGTGTTGGGTACCAAGCTCAAGTGGGTTGAAAGTCATGTCAAGAGACATGAGACCAGTGGGTTCCATGGTTCCAAGGATGAGTCCAACTCTGTGCTGAAATGCAGGTTCATACCTCATATGCCAAGTTTGCCAAGGCCAACTGTAGGAGGTTCGAGGTCAAATGCTGGGTCCTGCACTTGGGTCACAACAACCCCTTGTAACACTACATGCCTGGGGACAAGGGGCTGGAAAGCTGGCCGGCAGAAAAGGACCTGGGGATGTCGGTTGACACCAGCGGAATATGAGCCAGCAGTGTGCCCAGGTGGCCAAGAAGGCCAATGGCATCCTGGCCAGCATCAGGAAGAGTGTGGCCAACAGGACGAGGGCAAGGATCATCCCACTGTACGGGGCACTGCTGAGGCTGCACCTTGAATACTGTGTTCAGTTTTGGGCCCTTCACTTCACAACAGACTTTGAGGTGCTGGAGCGTGCCCAGAGAAGGGAACGGAGCTGGGGAAGGGTCTGGAGCACAAGTTCTGTGAGGAGCAGCTGAGGGAGCTGGGGGTGTTCAGCCTGGAGAAGAGGAGGCTCAGGGGAGACCTTATTGCTCTCTACAGCTGCCTGAAAGGAGGGTGCAGAGAGGTGGGGGTTGGTCTCTTCTCCCAAGTAAGAAGGGATAGGACAAGAGGAAACAGCCTCAGGTTGCATCAGGGGAGGTTTAGATTGGATATTAGGAAACATTTCTTCACTGGAAGGCCTGTCAGGCATTGGAATGAGCTGCCCAGGGAGGTTGTTGAGTCACCATCCCTGAAGGGATTTAAGACACATGTACATGTGGTGCTCAGGGACATGGTTTAGTGGTGAACTTGGCATTGATAGGTTAATGTTTGGTCTTGATGATCTTAAGGAACTTCTCCAACTTAAAAAATTCTATCATTCTATATAGGCAGAAGGGTAAATGTGAATATTTATTCACTCAAGAATATGTGGCTTCCACTTCTGGTGGGAAGGGATCTGAACTGTACAAACCACTGTAGGCTTCTTCCTCTGAGCCACTAGCCAGAGCTCCCTGGGTCACCCGAGCACAAGGGGCTCAGCCAAAGCTTTGAACAGCAACGAGGAGAGCTCTGCCTGGTCCCCAGCTGCGTTAGGGGACACTGCTCTGTCCAGAACAGGGCATCTGCAAGGCAGCAGAAACACTTGTCCTCTGTGTGCCTGGCTATTCTCTATTTCTGGCTATTCCTCCACAGAGAACTCTTGCCCTACCTGTTACAGGATTTTGAGCTCAGACCTAGAGTTTTAGACAGGTATGGATGATCAAAATACCGCTCTGTTTTGGCTTGAAAAGCAGAAAAAGAGAAGTGTTTTTCTCCATGCTCTGATAACTGCCTCCTGAAACCTAAGTTCTTCAAATATGAGTGTATGTTTCCAACTTACACAAAACAATGAGTTGTGATCGTTTGGTGGATATTTTTTAAGTTTATGTAAACCCTCTAGAAATGGGCAATTCCTCATCTAAGAGTCTCCTAATCCATGATTGCTGTGAATGAGGCACTACTATCCCACCTCTGTTGGTAAAGATTACCCATGTGTTTTCAGATAATTCCAGCCAGGTCCTGCTGAGCATCCCTGATTCCCATCATCTCCCCTGGCTCCTGAAAGCCGGTGTAAATTCATTAGCACTGGTTGTGAGAGCACTACTGCAGTGCTGCTAGCATTGGCATGAAGAAAATTCCATTACAAAGTAAAACACTGTTTAAAGAATCTGTGGATCACATAGAGCAGCGGCTGGAGTCACTGGTATAATTAGTAATAAATAATCATAAGGAAGACAGCTAGCGCAAGGAAGTGGAGAGCAGATCGACAGTAAAAACAGAGGCACTTGCCACTGAGCTCTGATTGTATTTTTTTTACCTCTCTTTGTGGATTAAAATATGCAATTTGTTTTTCCTAATTTGATGTACATTATATCTTCATTACTACAATTTAACTCCTGGGTTAAAATCCTGCCCTTCTTACTTAACTCTGATTGACTTCAATAGTCTATGGAATTTGACCGCTTCCAATTAACGCTATCCACTTGGGTTTCTGCTCAGCACTATCATGCACTGTTAATTGTTTAGTAAAATGTCTGCACTGGACATGTATGTGAGAAACAGGGAGAGAAAAAAATGTACGTAGCAAGAAAACTTTTTCTTTGTGAATAAATACCATTAAATGAAACACACAGCTTTAAGCCTCTAAAAATAAGGAAAATGTAATTTGTGATAAATATATATATATATTTACAAAATTACACCTGGCCTCCTGTGATTGTCAGAGCTGAACAGTATCTCAATTACAGCAGTACTATGTGGCTTTTAAAGTGCCTATATATTTGTCTCAAGCAAAAAGGGGAAAGAAGTATTGTCTATTAAGTGTCAAAAGCCTTTTCTTTAACCGCAGAAGGCTTGGACAGACTAAGGAAATATTTCATCTGGAAGAGAAATGCTAAAAACTACCCTTCACGTTATTGGAAAACCTATTATCAAATGCTAAAACCTCTTCTTAAATCCTTGAGTATACACAGCAACAGAGCAGGCTTGGTTCTAAGTATTTAAACCTTTGTTAAAGAAAAGACAACATAAAAGGGGATGCAATCCACCTGCTAATTAGAAACTTTATTTGCTGAGATACTGTTCATTTGAGCGTTTTAGAACATTCCATCCTCTTTGTACTTTCAAAATGAGACTACATTTTACTTACGGGGAGATGCAGTTGACTTTTACTCCTCTGTCAACCCACTCGGTTCCTAACGTCTGTGTTAATTTTACGACCCCGGCTTTCGAGACGTTGTACGCCAACTGCTTCTGCGGGTGTGGGACTAGAGGGGGTTCAAAAATAGGAAATTATTTGTTCTCCTCAAATTAAGATATGTTGGGCACTACACATACAATTTTCTGAATTCAGATGAACTATGTGCCATTTTCCCTGATACTAGGCAGGGAGCAACAAGAATTTAGCCACCCACAACAGAAAATTCTAAATGTGTATTTTGCCATCTAAGATTTTTGCCTCAGCAGCTGGGCTACTGAAAAAAATGGAGACAAAAATAAAGGAAAAAAAAAATTAAACGCTTCTGTATTTGGGCAAAGCCAAAACCAATATATGAAACCTACATATGCAATATTTGACTACTCCCAGGAAAGATAAATAATCGTACACACACATGCACATTCATATATTATACACATATGTATGTTTATATACAAAATACTTGTAATACAAAGGAAAAAAAAAATTATGATATAATATGATATAATGTGATCTATGATATGATAAAATATTATATAACATAATATAGTATGCCATAAGGTAATTTATCATAATATAACATACCATAATATATTTTAATGTACTATAAGTGCATAATAGATTTAATGTAACATATATTATACATAGTTCTTGGAACAAATTATTCTTAATTTTGAAATTATCCATAGTCTGAAGCAAACACTTCATATTATCTAACCAGTGTTTGTGTGGATGTGAGCACAGGTGCATCCCAAAAATTCAGAACACCCACCACTTTCAAAATCTGAAGCTTTTGAAAATGTTTCAGAGATGTCACATGTCAGTCAGAGAGGGAAAATGATCGGCTTGCTAATTACAATGTTCAAGCTTGTTAGTGCTGTGTGCTTGGGTGGCTCTGCCCCTCCACCAGCTCTCGCACTCGCAGTATTCCCAGGAAAGCTACTTAAGGACAAATCCCCAGAGGATGTAAAGTGCTTTAAACCCATGGGAGTCAAAGCAAGTCAGTCCAGCTGTTGGGATTTACACCCACAAAGTGTCTTTCTTTGGATTTTTCTGGCTGCCATTATGACTTCATTAAACAGACCCAGTGCCAGGCACTGATCCATAATTAGCACCGTATCGATACCAAGCATCACGGAGTTGCTGACTCTTTCGTGGAAGAAGCGTGGGGAATATCAGTGCTAAATACCAGTAATCACAAAGGCAAGCGATCGTAGCCTGCGGGGTTAGGTAATGCTCAACCCTGGCAGCAGGTGAATCGCTGTGTTTGTGTAAGGTACAGCAGGCAAATCCCACAGCATTTTGATAAAAGCACTGGTAGATGCCATTAAATTTGTCTTAATTTACTAAGTTAAGATGGTGCCTGAGTTTTAGATTACTCCCATCCATAGCATCCCAACACATCCACTATTGCTTTTATTAACCAAAGCTATTGGGTTTGAGTAAGTCAGTTTAAAGGGTGAAAAGTTGATAACACATTGATTTATCCAAACTCTGAAAGAGCCAAAAGCCCTGCTTGCAAATTACTGAGCATGTGAATAAGAACCTTTGCCTTGAACAAAGCTGTTTGTGAACAGATCTAAAGCGCACACATTATGGGAGCAAAAATCAGTGTTTCTCTTTTTCTGCATATGCTGAATGTTTGCTTAGAATTCGGAGCCCTTTCGCTTGCTACAAAGAGTATCTCACACCACGCGTCCCCTCTGTCTGCACCACCCCACGCCCCCCCTGCCACCAGGTTGGCTCGCGCTCATTTTCTGTTCAATATGAAGTAATTCACATTTCGACCAGCAGACCCGCTTTGCCCTCTCTGTGTGCCTGTTGCCCCCCAGACGCAGAGCGCTGTGTGGGCTCTCAAAAAGATGTGGAATGTGATTTCTTGATTAATTGCCATGCATCAGCTCCAAGTTACATACAACTTCGGTAGTTAACCTTGTAACCTGCCAAAAGGAGTTCTTTGCTAAACTTTCCAAACATGTCTATTTGTGATAAATCATTCGGCGTTTGCTAAGAGGAGAAGGGTTTTGGCACCAGCTCTGCACCTCTAATGTACGTGGGTAAGAACAGCAAGTTGCTGCAAGCTATCAGAATCAGTTTTCTGATTTGGGGTGGGTGCTCAGACAAGGTTTTCCACCTAAATGCTTTTGTCTTCATAAGCATACCTAAGGAAGGTAACTCAAGATGAAATTTCCATCTCTTGAGACACTTGGCCCCTTTCAGTGGGAAGAAGAAGCCAACGAGCATTGTGAAGCTCTGGCACTGGGTGGGCTTTCTGCAGCTGAGCACCCTCACTGCCTCCTCTTCTCTTACCTAAGGTGGTCTCTTATAGACAGAAGAGCAAATCTGCAACCCTTCAGATTCATACAGAACAGGACTAGAGCTTGTGAATAAAGCTATGCCTCCAGCAGTGTCACCAAAAAATTCTGAATTTGTGAGGCTTCTAGGAAGCGAGAACACTCGCTCCGGTTTCACACGGAGAAGATGGGAGGAAAGCAGATAAAAATGCTGCCAACATCACCTGTGTTACATTTTAAACACCTGACACCATGTTTTTGCAACCTCGTTCGGTGCATAAGGCTTCCAGCCTGACCTTGAAGCAGCCATGTAATGTTAATGAGAGGTGCACGCAGCTAGAGAAGACCAGACCACTTCCCAGCTAAAGATATTCAACGTAAAAATTACAGATCTGAGTTACACCTGTGCAAACCGCCGAGCCGCAGCAGCCTCGTCGCCGCTGCTGAGGCAGACGCCTGGAATAATTCCAGTGAAATACCAGAATCAAAATGCACATATGCAAAATGTATGCAGCTTATCTTCAATTAATTAAAACTGATTCTGAGCAGTGTATCTGGAAAAATCACAAACAAAAACCTCCCTATCCTGCTAAGAGTCGCCTCGTTTTCCTCTATTGCTAAGGAAGGACTCAACCTACAAAAAAAAAATCCCCTAACTATTTCTAGAAACATTTCATACTATGCCAGTTGGCCAACATACTTAAATAACCAACCAACCAACATATTTATTTAACATTCAGCAGATGGACATGATATGAACATCGTGGTTTTCAGTCGTAGTTTTATAACTACTAGATTTTTTCAATGCCAAGATTCAAACAGGTTCAGAAGGTAAAGGCATCTCTTGGTATCTTAACTTCCGGCCAAGCATGCATTGAATTTCCATGACATTTAAATGCATCTTGCAATGACCCTTCCTGGCTGTGCTCAGGGTTGTTTTCCAACTTTCCTGCTCCAGGACCAATACTGTCCTCAACTAGGATTCCCATGCAGTTCTCAGTGGGCTTGGTGTGCCAGGCAAGGAGGTGCAACCCCAGGTTGGGGTTGGACGGATGTTGTGGTGGAATGGCATTGCCTCCTGGCTCAAAAAGCTGTGTTAGAGCCCGATGGAGAAGCTGGGAAATGCCTCTAAGGAACAGAGAGGACTTCTGGGCTGCAAGAGCGAGGCCAGGAGCAGTGTACCAAAGCAGCAGCCCCCCAGCTGGTGCCAATTTTCAGAGCTTCTTAAGGGCGGAATACCTCCCAGTAAATTTGGCTTTGCAAGAGTGATGTGGAAGGTGACAGCCCAAGCCCAGACCAGAGCCCCACAGAGCATGAAAGTCTGGGGCATTTGAAATTTAAAGCTTTACATTCTTCATGAAACTATTTTTCTTTGGGAGATTTTGTAGCTCTACAAAGCTGGGGCAGAGGGATGGTGCTTAAGCATAAGTAAAACAGCTGGTAAGGACACTTGAAGAAAAGCTTAACAACAACATTATAAATGCATTTTTGAAGAAACATTTAAAGTTACTGTGCAATAAACTGAGCAGAATGTCACAGAATGTCAAACTGGGCACAGTAAAAATAAATGTTATTCCCAAGGAAAATAAAAAGACTGCATATTTATGTAACATTCAGCAGATGGACATGATATTAATACAGGGGTTTTCAGTTGTACTTTTATAGCTACTAGATTTTCTTGCCTAACTTGGCAACCCAAGGCACCATTTGATTTTTGGATTTGGACAATACTGCAACAGATGTCCAGACCAATAAAATAAATTCCTAAAGGGCTATGCTTAATTTGTGTAATTGATCAATTTTTGTTACATGGGCCTCAGTTCACCAGCATGTAACTGCCTTCCAGATTAGCTCAGCAGTAGGGATTTCATTCCATATGTTACACTAGTTTATTGGCGCTTTTGATGACACTGCTGATTCAGCAGCGTTGGTGGAGACACCTGTTGGCAACAATAATGGAATAAAACCCGTGGACACCGGGGTGGAAACCAGTGCAAAAGCTTTCAGGTGGCTTGTAAACATCATGGGGGCACAGCTTCCCGTGCTCAAACGCGTCTGCCTGCAATTACTGGGGAGTGCACCAGCACCTCTCCCATGCCATCAGGCCATCGGAGTCAGAGGAGGCAACTCCACCTCTTCTATTAGAAGTAATAAGTGCTCTAAAACATAGAGGACAGATAAATGTTGAAAAATGATATCAATAAAAATTTTGTAGTACATTTCCTCTAATACAAAATGTCAGTGATTTACTCCTTCCCAATACAGGTTTAATTGATTCAAATGGCATCGGTAGTAATTAAAATATGGATTCTGAAGCACAACTGTTAGCTCTCATCACTCACCTATTAAACTTGCCATAGATGCCGTGTTAATTATCTTCCCATATCCTTGATTCAGCATAATGCGGCCTGCAGCCTGTGACAGAAATTAAAGGAAAGACCAGTGACCCTTTTTGTGATTGTGCTAATAATGACATGATAATAAATTAGTCTTCAGTTTTCAGAAGAGTTTATGTGCTAACACATTTTTTTTAAGCACTTGATATAAAAACTTGGTATAAAAATGGCTGATGCAGGAAAAATCCCATTGCCATTTCAGACCCTCTTCACTGTTGGTAATATTTTTTCAAAATAATCACTAATCTTGGGAACCAAGAAACCCACACACACACACACACACACACACCCCAAGCTTTGTGGTTTTCAGGATGTGTCAAAATAACCACCCTCCAAAAAATTCAGCCATTCTTAAATGACTGGGCTTGGGCAGCCAGTGAGTACCAGCTGCTTTGGAAAATATTGACCAAAATCTGTGAGTGATATAAAGCAAATCTCTCCTGAACTCCACCAAAACTAGGAACAATTTTATTGTGATAGTTGGTAATAAATTGTTATTAAATCTTGGTGAAGTAAACGCTTAGAAAATTGTTACCCTTTTGCAAGACAAAGCAGCACAGCATTTCACACTTACTTGGCAGCACAAAAATAATCCTCGTAAATTCACATTAAAAGTTTTGTCCCATTCTTCCAGGGAAGTGTCTTCGCTTGCAGAGTTCATATTGATTCCCGCATTGTTGCATGCGATGTGAATTGTGCCCCAGCGTGCTACGATTGCATCCACGACCCTTTGCACATCCTCGGGTTTGCTTATATCTGCGGCGAGGGCAAAGCTTTTAATCCCTGCATTAAAATAAGGGTGATGCCGTCAGTACAGGAATTCACAGAGAAAGAAAAAATAAATAAATCTATTTTAGGATTATTTATTAATACATATATATGTATATTTTTATCAATGTGTGCCACCTTAATGGATTGCCCCACAAATTATGGCAAAACGGGTGTTTGTTATGGTACCACTGCTGTGGAAGCGGCTGACTGGCGCGAGGTTTGCGTGCTGGAGGCGAACAGCAAACCGGGGGCTGAGAGCCGAGTTTGCCACTCCGGCGGGACGAAGCTTTGAACACTGCACCATCTTCCGTCCAAACCCTCAACTGCAGCTTCCCCGCCGTGAGCAGTTCCACAGAGCATCATCACGCGTGGGTGGACGGCAACAGCTCAGGAACAAGAAAAAGCACGCGACTCCCTCGTTTGTTCGAATGTAGATGGGGTTTATATGCCAGTTCCCCAAAAATGCCCCAGAAATCAAACCCATTTGTCCAAAAAGTGCTCTGGGGATGAACGACAGCATCCAGACAGGTGGGAGTCTCGGACAAAACCAAACCAGTTTTAGGTGGGAGCTAACTGGGAATACCTGCAGGTTCACAGGCATGATAGTCATGGTGCCTGGCTGTATTACTGCAAATCACACTACCAGAATAACACAAACATTCAGAATTTAAGAGGTTTACTGGATTTGAAACATGCAAAAGTTGTGCTTTTCTCCCTGGAACAATCCAGGAATCGGGTTTTCCACCAGTGCTGATCCATAAATACCTTCCTTTAACTGACTATCAAAAGCATCTTCAGATACCTTCACTGTTCAACTAAACAAGCACTCTACTCAGGCACCTGACGCCAGTGGGATTGTACTCATCCTGAAAGTCAAACAAGGCTACACGAGTAAGGGCTGGGGTGGAATTGGTCTTAACTCCCAAGGAGAGAGGCAGCCACTGGGGTTGGACCTTAATCAGCAGTCTGCAAGCAAACAGTGCACAGGTAGGAAGTGACAGCTGGTAAAGCAAGGTTTTTTGCTTCTATTTAAACACAAAATTTATTCCCCATTCATCCCTCTTTTAGATCATTCTAAAAAAACCTAAAATTGAAAGAAACCTTAAACCCATCCTAGAAGAATAGGAGAAGACTCTCCCAGAGCGAAGCTTTGAGATGGAAGTTCCATGAAAGCAGGGCAAAGCGATAATTGCCCAATGATATTGGAAGAAAATGACAGGAAAGAGGCTTTTGGATGGAAAAGTTCCTCTTTGTATCCAGTGCCTCCAGGAGCCTGCCAGAGCACACGCCCCAAGGTCTGGGGTGGTCCCCATGCCAGGCCAAGGGAGTTTATGTCCCTTCTGGCCTTCCACTATGCCACGTTCTCCTTGCTTTCCATGGCAGAGAAAAGGGCAGACCCATAATACAGCCACCTGCAAAAAAATATGAACGTTCTCCCACAAAACAAGACCTCTTATTTTATCTCAGGTTTTATGCTAAATATGCTGAAAGAATAAAAATAGCCAGACAGCCCCCGTAGCTCCTAATTGTTATCAAGACATGTAACACACAGGGAGCTGCTGCAATCTTTCTTATTCAATTTACAGACAAAATGGGTGCAAGTGCGTTACTAATGGTAACAGAACGAGGCTCTTCACCTGCCCTCCAACTCTCACCCCATTTATGGCTTCATCTTATATGATAGTTCATAAAAACAAGACAAAAGGTGCCACACGTGAGTGTCTAGTGAAGAAACAGTGAAGGCACGGTCACTTCAAACCGGAGTCCCACACTTGACCTTAATCAATTCAGCTGATATCCCTGCACCCTGAGAGAAGGAGAAAAAAAAAAACCTTAGTCTCTCCACTGTCCCCTCAAACCATCTGTTAAAAATAATAAAATGAACTATGGAAAATCGCTCACAATCTGCAGTCCCAACCAGAGGTAAGAAACCCAACACATGACCACACTGCTACATGCATGAGGGTGCCAGTGCATCTTTACCGTCCTCAGTTTAGTTTTGTGATGCTCGCGGAGGCAGTTTTGTGATGAGAGAGGCAGGAGAGGAACCCAATGCCTCTGTCCTGGAGAGACATCAATGTGCCGAATCTGCACAAGGTGCCCTTGTGCAGGGCACATATTATATGCCCCCCCTGCCACGGGCTTCATCTCTGGTTTCTCAGTATAAATGGAAGTAATATATTGCATATAGACAGGAAGATCAGAAGTGACATTGTGGGGAAGGCATTTGCATAGTTTACAGTGGAAATGCACATTTTAAAAATCCCATCAGACTAATCCTTCCCTTAAGGTACAGGCAGTGATTCCCCCTGAAGACAGAGGGGTATGTAGTGGAAGGTAACCCTCAGGATTTTTTGGTTATGTTTCATCATTTTTGGTTCTTCTGTCAGGATCCATTAGCAACTGTTGAAAGAGATATTCACACAGGATCTAAAAACAAAGACCCCCGTAGCCAAGGGACATACACCCGAGCTGTCTAACAAAGCTAAAACTGAGATCACAGAGGTTCTGATGTTTAAAACTCATCTTGAAATGATGGCACCATCCCAAAAGACAGTAAAGGGCTCCTTGGTATGAGAAGTAATATGGGTTTAAGAAAGCTAAGCAAAATGTTTTGAAAAAGTATCAGTGTGGGAATGACTTGCGTTTCCAACTTTGAGTTAGAGATCCACAACCAAAGGGGGCCGGGGGGGGAATCACAGCTCCTTTGTGCTTATTATAGCCAGAAAAATATGCATTAATACTACGATTGCTTCAATTTACTCATGTGAATATTATGAGAGTAAAGCTAGCTGAACTTTTTTGTCAGAATTTATTTCCAACGGAGTATGTTATTTCTTTGAAGACAAAATGTTTCATGGAAACAGATTGATTTCAACAAAAGTTTTCAAGGGGAAGCTTCTGAGGTCCAGGCTAGACTCTCTAGTTATCTCTGGAGAGAAAGGGATTGAAAACCTGACCTTTTCAGATCCTTTCCAAAAACGGGCATTTGGATATAATTCCCTTTCACAAAAGCATTACAAAGTTTGTGGTTTTTTCCAACAAGGAATGACAATAAATTTGAAACCTCAAAAACTGTCATGAGATGGAATAGATGTGCCCTGACCAGCTGCACTGGTCAAGTCGATAGAGAATATTTGACCTCAAGGAATAAAGATGTGTAAAGACTGAGAAGTGAGATTTTCTTTACTTTAGACAGCAATAATATTTGCTATGCCTCACGACCTCTCTGACTGCATTTTGTAACAACCCTCCACCTCCTCTGGGCTTACAGCCCACCGGTTAAGGAGCAGAGATGTAGGGCAGGCACTGAACGATGGATGATCAAACTCCCACTGAAAATGCCCTGGAGATAAGTTAAGCTAGTTTTCAAATAGGCTGTTGGCATCCCAAGTCTCTCGGCTCAATCAAGTAGCCCATTTCTATCTGAATAGCTCTACTTGATATGCAGGATCTCACTGTGAAAACATGTCCAAAAGGCGAGTTAACTGGTAGGACACAGCTACTTCGTTCCAAGACCATATGGCTTCAGTGCATAAGAAAATGAAAAGCTTCAGGGAAGGATGGATGACTCAAGAATTTGTAATAGGAGCTGGACACTTTCGGTTCTAGGTCATTATCTGGGATCAAACCTGCAATCAAAGCTTTAACCATTACACTGATAGTCAGTGCAAAGTGCCTCCTGCTTACTGGAGCTGGGATCGTACAGACTGAGATTTTTGTTGAAGATGTTCTCTGTGGAGGCTCAGGATGGCATCAAAACCAAAACTGAACCACTCTTCAGGAGGCTGATTGAGACTGGGTGATAGAAGTACATCTTCAGGGGCCCATTTTGCTGGAGAACATGGTTTCCAATAGCCCAATCCCTTTGTGAAGTTAGAGTGGAAACAAATATTGGTGATTTTATCCAAACAGGAATGTGAAAATTTCCTGGGTAAAGCTCCAACTTTAGAGGCAATGAAGTACTGAACTTTGAAGAAGGCTCAGTTGTAATCTCAGAAAAGGAACTATAAAATGAATAACACTTCCTTTCTCTTCTTATTAAAATTATATTTCCAGTTTTCTTTTCCCCTTTGCAATTGCAGTTTAGCATGACTCCAGGGGAAAATTGAATTTTATGTTACATTTTCTGTTTTTACTGCTAAAATAGAAGTGGTTTGTAGAGGATTTAACCTCTTATTTGGGATTTTAGATATTATGTCTATTAGTATTTTGTTCCTATATCTAAACTTGCATGTTTGAAAGAACTACAGCTGCAGGTTCCAAAAATGGCTTGGCTTCACTTTGAGGGCACAATGAGCCATTTAGGCTGACAATACCTCTAACCTGTTTGGTGTTTTGGCGCATGGTCCAGACATTAGGTATGGAAGAGGGGCCAGGGAGGGAGGACACGTTCCAAGTCTGAAGAAGGAAAGCAACCTGTTACAACACTCATCACCGGTCGTGTACAACAGGACCTGCAGGTCAGTCCCGTGCTTACCTTTGAGGCTGAGCTCACACGCCACTGTTTCTGCCTTTGCAAGGACCAGATCCACAACAGCCACTTTAGCACCGGCTTCCCCCAATGCATGAGCAAAGGCTCTTCCAATTCCCTGCCCTCCGCCTGTGACATAGGCCACCTTGTCATCCAAACGCAGCCGGTCAAGGATGCGGCGCCTGTTATAACCCCAGAAGACGTCATCCCTCACCACTTCTTCCTAAAACAAAAACATATATACATTGCACAGTTGGGTTCAAATCTCAGTAACGTGGTAACTATGAAGGGCTCTGCCTGTGAGAATGAGGTGGGAGCACTAACAGGAGTCCATGTCTTCGTGGCCCATTATTTAATACAAAAGGTATGGGTAGTTCAAACCAAAAAACACCCTTATCCCCACAGAAATTAGTCTCAATAGGAACACTAAGGTGTAAGACAATGGAGCAGAAGGGCTGTTGTTTGGGAACATGCGGCAACCACTCCACTTACATGAGAGCAGGGTATGGTATTTCCTGACCGGCTTCCCATGACAGATGGGTCAGGTACAATGGCTTAGAAGATGACTGATTAAGTCTTCTAGTTATTTCACTCCAAGGGCCCAATCCTGCCCTCAGGCTTAGCTGGTACCAAGAAGACATGGAGGCTAAGGACAAGTTTCCAAAGGCAGGATTTGGCTCAAGTGGAGTGCAATCAAAACATCTTCACAAGGCTGGTGTGAAAATACAGCTATCAGCCAATAACTTAAACCAAGCTGTCATCTGATCAGCTGCCATACATCATTTCCCCCTGACTGGAATCAAAATGGAAAATACAAGATGTTTAAAGTATTGGGTTTGAAATGCCAGGGATTGCCAGTGGGTGTAGCTTTGGGAGCACTCAGGACCTGCAAAACAATCAAGATGTTTGGGTCTGGATTTACCGAGTTAGGCCATTATGATTCCAGATGGGAATTTCATTACAATTGGATGATGCCCACTGTATAAAATGGCAAAAGATAAAAGCACCATCTTTTCCACAGGACAAGCAAAATCCAGGGCCATGAAAATATTCAGCTCAGAGAGCATCAGAGGGCATCACATGCTGCCTTTGGGCAAAAAAAGAAAGCACTACTTCAGAAAGACTGTGTTGGTTTATTACAGCTGGGCCCCACCTCCGTCTGCCCACGCTTCCCTGCATGTGAAGGACCAGAGAGCACCGAGCAGATATTCGGCAAGCAGCATGCCAGCCACTCCACGGATTTATCACAGCACCAGCATGGCTGATCCAAAAGACTTTGCAAGGAATCAGCACTTACTAGTTTTAGTGTAGCCCCTGGACTAGTGAGGCTAACATATGCCAAGCGCTAAGAGGGTAAGTCCATGCTGCACAGCACCACGGCACAGAAGAACATGAGTCTGGGCTCTCACCACAAAACCCCTGGAAATCATTTTGTCACTGTCCTCAGTAGAGTCCAAATTTTCCCAGAAGTGCTCACAGAGAGGAAATACACACCTTGGATTCAATCACTGCATCTGGAGGTGTAGAGTTCCTTCGAATGATGCTCAGTCCACACTGCACAGGTAAAATTATCTGCAAACATAACGCGTACACACACAGTTCTCAACTGCTTTGTACCTGGCTTCCCATCACCCAAATTCCACTGATATGAAGAACAGTCCTTCCTTCCTTAGGCCATGGCAGTTTTTCACCTCCTATTCTTTAGCTGAAATTCCTTCCAACCCAAATATGTCAGGCATTTGTATCTACTCACATTCCTCCTCCAAATTCAGGGCTTCCACAAATGCCAGGAAAAAATGCAATTTTATTTCTCTGTTTTTTAAATCAGTGCCAGCTGCTGAGGTTTCTGGGATTCCACTGCCTGGCTAATGCTGCCATGAGGCTATTCCAGCCCTATCCTTGGAGCTCAACAAACTGTAATAGCAATACTTTGGTGTTCTTTAGCATTTGCTAGAACGTGTTCTGGAACCCATAGATGAAGGTCAGTGGGTTTTGCCACCTATCTTCTCTGACACCATTGTCACACTTCAGTGAAAACTGCACTCAGTGCTGGAGAGTCAACACCAATATCAAAATATCAGATCATTAGATATGGAAACAACATGCTATCTACATGCACTGAAGACCTAATAGTAAGATTCAGGGCATGGAAATTGTCATTAATTTTTCCTCTACTGCAAAGAAAAGCTGTTGCCACTGGTATGTCAATGATAGAATAAATACAGAATCGCAGGAGGCCCCTCTAGACAGCGTCTGACCTGCAGATAGACGAGGACCTTAAGCCTATGAAGCATGTACCAAAACCTCCTGAGCACGAGCTATGGTGGGGGGACCATGGGAGGTGGTGCCTGGGAAGGAGGTGGCAGACCTCACCTGTCCCACCATGTCACTGGCCCAAAAGTGCAAAAGGGCAGGCAGTGATCCAGCTATCCTCAGTGGTTTCCCCACCACCACCCCACTGCAGCCATGGCATGGCAGCAAGCTTTGCAGGCTGGTGGCTACTGCCCTGGTGTAGCATCACTCACATCTGCTTTTAAAGCCCTAGAGGATATTTTTCTAATTTTGCCTCTAAACCCCCCAGCATATTGCTTATGCATCTTATTACGATCTTTTTTCCCTCCTGACAGAGTAGGACTTTGTTGACTCCCGTTGTGCTGGTGATGCCCTACAGCCTCCAGATCCTTCAAAGCCGAGCAGCGGTTCCTTGGTTGTACTGTAGAGCTGATTATTCACTCTTAAGTGTTCCACTTTTATCTTGCCTTTAACACTGTATAAGATGTAGACAGAGAGTAGGGACCGTTTCTGAATATAAAAACTTCATACACAGAGCTCAAGTGAGGTGAATTATAATCAAATTTGAGTTCACTTTAGGTCCCCTGAATAATGGCACCAACAAAAGAAACATTTTGAAGAGTATTCTGCAAAATCCATAGATACAGTACCATGAGCCCCTTAACCAATTGCATTTTTTTTTCTGCTGAACACGAGGATCTGAATTAATCACTGTATTTAATTTTCTGACAGCCAGTACATTTTCATCAGATATGTTCTCCAGGTAGACTTGTCCTTTCATGAGTGTATTCTCTACACAGATCACTCCATCCATTCTCAGCAAGTGGTTATCCATGACAAAGCTGTAGTAGTTAACAGCATTCCTTTGATCAGCATCAATAAAGACTATATCAAAGTGCTCGTCCTCAGCATGTAATGTCTGGGAAAAAAAATATGTTGGAGAAAACACTAATTATTTACCTGAAAATTTAAAATCTTTCCATAAATATGTCTTTTATATAAAACCAAAACCATAGGGAAACCCCTTCTTTTAAGGTAACATTGCTAGAATTACTTCTGGAGATCTCGTGAGCTTTCCGCGCTTTGCAAACTATTCTTCAGCAACGCTGGTGCCCAAAACTCTGAACCTCTCAAAGGAAATCAGAATATAAAAGAGGATGGTTCATCCCAGCTTACGGCATCGAGAGTCACAACAGAAACATCTGTCTATCTAGAGTCAAAGGGAATTGAACCATCAGGGTAAGGGAGAGGACTGGCATCAAACCCTGTGGCTAAGGTGCTAAGTTATCTCTTCTCAAAAGAGTAACTATCAACAAATTGAAGAGTGGCAATTATATCAGTCTGGGAAAAAGAGGCATAAGGCTGATCCTGGGAATTGCAAACCAGTGAGTCCCACTTCAGTAGCAGGCAAATAATTGAAATCCCAATTAATAATAGAATTATAAAGCACATAAAAGAATAGGTCATGATAGAGATAAAGCAGCACAGCTCCTATGAAGGAAAATGATGTTTCTTTAATCTAAAAAAATGCTTTGGATGGCTCAGCAACAGAGAGGATAAAAGAGAACTGGCTGCTATCATCTAATTGGATTTTCAGAAATGTGGCACACCTTCCCTCCAAGCAGGCTGCTGATGATAATGTATAAAAGTGTTGATGGATGACCAGATGGGAGCCTTTACAGCCTTCTCCTGTGGCAGTTAATGCACTCGCTGCCCAAGAGGCTGCTACGGAATATTTCAGATTCCATCTGGGACTATTTAACTGCATCTGTGTGCGTTGCAATGAAACAACGGCTCATCCACCTATCTCGGCAAGTAGAAATGCTTTCAAGTCTTGGCATTTCGAGTGAAAAGAGAAACAATTATGTTTTCCAGAACTCACTGTTTCTACCACAACTTCTTGTGTCCAGATTTCCCTTTTGTGTTTGGAGACATTGTGCACAATGAGTGATGAGCGATCCCCTGAGATGTACGAGGGAAAGCATCAATAACAAATGGCAACAGAATGTGAAAAACTAATTTGTTTTCAGGAGTGAGGTTGATGGTTCCCAAACATACTTCATGAGCCTTTCTGAAGCAGGGAGTGTGTCATTCAGACAAGGAAATAGAGGGAAGTGGATCATTCAAGCTCTGAATTACTCTATTGTGCAAACTGGTGTCATTGTGAGCTTATTAGTGATTAAGAAATTAAGCCAGCCTGAGAGCCTGGATAGTCACACTTAACTGCAGATGCTTGATAGCACAAAAGCTCTGCCAAAAGCATTCATGAGCATGGATTTAGGGCACCTTTTGATACTACACTATAATGAAAGAAGACCCCAAGGCCAAATATATGCTGGTTTATAATAAATGTAGCAGAAACTGGGACATCTGGTTTCCTGGGATTCATCTTTTCATTTCATGGCCAGTAAGAAAATTTTGCCCTGGTTTCCCTTGATAGCACAAAAGCTCTGCCAAAAGCATTCATGAGCATGGATTTAGGGCACCTTTTGATACTACACTATAATGAAAGAAGACCCCAAGGCCAAATATATGCTGGTTTATAATAAATGTAGCAGAAACTGGGACATCTGGTTTCCTGGGATTCATCTTTTCATTTCATGGCCAGTAAGAAAATTTTGCCCTGGTTTCCTCTTGGACTGTATGAGGGGTGGAATGTTTTTGCTACTGTGGAAGAGCATCTTACATCAGGTTGCAAGTCAGCCAGTTTGTCCAATGTGTATACTTCAGGAAGGGTCAGAGGATGAAAGCTGGGGGGAGGATTCCATCAGGAAGAGAGATTAGAGATCTCATTCCCCAGAGAGAAGAGCCAAAGCCAAATTCAAGTAATTATCGTGACTTATCACTACTTTCTGACTTGTAACCTTCCTGGGCAGAGGAGGTGGGGGGCAAATATTCAGAAGCAGATGTGGCCATCTCTGAACATATGTTACTACTGCTCCATGGTATGGCTCCCTAATGAAAAAGATTCTCACTATTATGCATTGACTTCATTAGGTCCATATGGAGTTGTGTAGCTCTTTGGATATTAGCTGGACTTCTCATTTCACCTCTCTTTCTGTACTACCTGCTGACAGCTTATCTCCTTCTTCCTTGTCTTCTGATACAGATAAACCACCTTTTAACTTCACAGCTGTCATCCCAGGAGGGATGTGTATCCACCACATGCCTTTTTTGCCCTTGCACTGCGTGTGTGTGCAAGGCCACCATTTGGAAGGCACTTCTATTGTGCCAGTTCATCAAGTCCTGAACCTGAAGGTCATGAAGGTTAGTTGGACACTCGTGCTGGTTTCACAATGGTTTTTCATTTCTTCTAGATACTTAGTACTAGGCATCTGCATGGTAATGCATCACTGCCTTGGAGTTCATACTGCAACCCTGCCACCATCTGAGCTTCTTGTTTCCACAGCTTTAAGACTGCTGTGAGTTTTTCCATGTTTAGTTGGAAAGAGCTCCAGCTCCCTATAAAGGGAATCCAAGAAATTCCTTGAACCAGCTTTGCTTCTGGAGCAGCCTCTACACAAAAGATAACAGCCACGGGAAAGTGCTGTTTACTGGAGCTCCTTGCCTAGCAGAGTATGGGTCACTTGGCTAGGTGGTCACCATGGCCAAGGTACCCTACTGGAGAGGGTTTTTTTTTTGAACCAAAAGAGACAGAAAGAAAAACAGCTGCTCTACTGGTAGCTCTGACTGTGGAGCTAAGGACTGGAGATATCGGCGCAGTGATGGAGAGGAGAACTTACTGCTGCCCCTCTCAAAATGGAGGAGAGGTTTAAGAGGAGGGATTGACCACCCTTGTCCTCCCAGAGCAGACTGAGCCTGGTTCTGGGACCTCACAGCACGTTGGAGATGCCTTTGTCCTGCTAGGAGAGAGACAGAGCCCAAACATCTCCAACTGTGTGGAAAGCTGAGATCCAGAAGGAAATAATCTGCCTGCAAAATATCCTGCTGACA